CAACTTGTAGTTCCATACTTTTATCTTGTAGTCATCCCCTTTTAATGAAAAATAAAATCATTTTTTTAGAATAATTTTATTGCATAAGAACCATATGCTTTGTAAAAGAAAATCATAACACAAATGAAAAATTTTTGAGCCAATAATAGGGCTAGGTGCGCAGTGCCAGGTTATTCTTGCCCGAGTTGACCACTTCCAGAAAATTTCAATCAATAAACTCAGCCACATCACTTTGTAGCAATAAATATATGCAATGTAAAATAAAACATTTCATTTATCCCAAAAACTATTTAAAAATAATTAAAAAACGAAATAGGTCAATAGTCTATACTTTGGAAGTAAGACGTGGAAATCATAAAACCACTGGATAAAATAAACATCATACATGCATTCACGGAAACACAGATGTGTCGTATGTAATTCTACCTATTGTTAAATTGGCATTCATTTGCTTCAAACCATCAGATCTACAGGCTATAAACCAAGTTCAACTACATGAATCTCTATATTAAATCTAGATCCGGCATCACACATCAGATACCTTAAATTTCATACGGTTGCAAGAAGGGCTAAAATATATAAGCTAATCCAATCCTAACTAACTAATCACTACAACTCAAAATTTCACTTATAAATCCACAGATCATTAAAATAACCAAATCAATATGATTTGTTAAGCAGAGATCAAAATCGAGGTTAAAGGAAATGAAATCTGAACCTCCGGAGACAAACAAAGGCTGAGACATGTGGAAATGGACACCGCGAACAGGGCCATCATGTTCGTCGAATCGATCAATCAGAGTGCCCATTCGATAGTCCCATAACTGGATAACACCGCTGTGGAGACTAGCTAAGATCCACGGCCTCTTAGAGTGGAAACTCAGTCCTTTCACTCTATTACTCTTCGTCTCAAATTTTGTCAACATCTTCTTCCTTCCTTCTTTTTTCCTCTCCAACTGTCAATTCTCTGCAGAATCGAATCAAATCGAACATTAAAACAAAGATTAACAGTATAAACCGAACAAGAATAATCGAATTTAGGAATTGAACAAGTAGATGAGAAGAAACTACCTTCAGATCTGATGCAACATCTAATAGCAAAAACAAAATGGAAGCGTCTTTGAATTTTTTTGGTTTATAATAAAAAGAGAAGAGTTTTTCAATTCTCTCCTCTTTCTTTTTTAACATCTGAGCGGCTGTTTGCTTTGTACTTCGTAAACTCTTCCTTCCTTTCCATTTTACAGGTTTTCAACGACGTCGTTTCCGGATGAGATAATAGAATATCGCTGTTTTTAATGGCAGTTGGGCGTGTCATACACTGTGGGCAATGGGGCGTATGGTAGTGCTTGCTAAATTTGTTTTGGGCCAATTAATGGGCTATTTTGGGGGATTTAGGAGTACAAATTTGGGCTTACGTTTTAGCTCAGCAGTGATGTTTCCAGGCCCCAGCAATCAATAAGGATAACTGCATATGTAGAATATATCATATATTTCCATTTAGGGAAAGCATTAAATCTATTGTCAGAGCTCTACTATGCCTTAGACCTATAGGCGAAGAACCGATGAGTCTCCATTTTCACCTACCCTTTCTAAATATGGTAGTTTAAAGGATTAATGAAAAATAAGCGATCAAATTATATTTAAAATTAATTTTAGATGTTTAAATATTTTTTATTAAAAATATATATTTAACGTTTCATATATTATATTTTTAGATGTCTGACGTTACATTCATTCGTTAAATATACGTATTAGGCTTATAAAAATTTAAATATTTTATTTAAAAGATTTTGAAATTTTATATGTCTGTCGTGCATTTGTCACGTAACAGAATACAAATTTATTTAACGCTTTATTGCTTACAAGCAAGAAGACGAAGAAAAGCTGCAGAGAAACTAAAACTAAAAAAACAAAAACAAAAATAGAGTTAAAGAGACATGAAGGAATAAGGATTCCAATCCGAAGGACCCACTGGTGGGAGAACGGGACGACGGATTTGTTATTTTACGTAAATTTTTAATTTTGGATTTTAGAAATTTGAAATTATTGGTATTTTTAACTGTTTAATGACGTGGAAGGTGAGAGCCGATGGGAGTTTAATGGACCCTTGCAGTTTTAGTTGAGGGATTTTTTTTTATTATTTTGAATGAAGTAAATGGTTAAAAATGAGCGGGAATAACATTAGGCGGAGATTAGGACAAATTGGAAAGTTACGATTGAGGACAAAACTAATAAGGGTAAACTACACAAACAGTACTCATGTTCTGAGTAAGTTTCTCTTTTCTTTACTGATGTTTCAAAAATAACAATTTAATCACTAATATGATCAATTTATAACAAATCGGTCACTCAACGTTAACAACCGTTATTGTGAATGATGAAAAACTAATGTGGTGTGTTAACCGGTGACTTGATACTGCTTGAAACAAGACAACAATTTTGATCGACTTTTCTCTTCAATCTCCCCTCTATTCTTCATTCTCCATATTACTTTTAGCTCCTCGATATACAACATTTCTCTACAAACTTTCCAATCTCTAGGCTCTGTATATGCAAAAATGCTTCCAAATGATTTGCTAAGAAATTCAAATGCAAAAATTATAGCTTCTAAAAGAATAATACCTCCACTACCATCCTTTTCTATTTTCATCTTCATCGTTTTATCGTTACTATGCTCGATCTTATTGATGATATCTAAAGTTTAACCCGACTAGTCCGAACTCAAAATAAAAATTCATGTTCGAGAATGTTTTAAGATATATAAAGCTGATCTAAGAGAGTTCCATATCAACTTGGAGATTTAGTTGTCATCAAGCAAGAAAAAACAGTCTATCCATACTATGTTATCTAGACGGAAGATAAATATTAATTTATCAAAATTATTTATTTATCATTATAGATGACATCATATTTTCGTTTTCATCTCTATCTCAAGCTCGCCTATAAATAGGCTCGCCTCCGTTGTATTCAAGACAACTCAATTTAATATTATTATTATTATTTTTATTTTCAAAATTTTATTTGGGGTAGTTTTCTTTTTCTTCAGAATTTTTATCTTGTTTTTGATTTGGAGTACAAGTGTACATTATGCAGCAGTGAATGTTTGGTGTTCTTCTCCAACGTCGAAGTTGCTAAGGACGAGATTCTTGAAAAATTAGGCGTTTTTGGAGGATACAAAATTCCAAAGGAAGTGGAATTTCGAAGATTTTAAGGAGCTCCGCATACCTCAACGCTCAGTAGATAGAAGAATGATAACGGATATTATTTCCGAAATAGATCTAAAAAAGTATAACGTAACTAAATAAATTTATATCTTTTATGTTTTGTATATGTATAATCCTAATTAGTTTAGTGTTTTAAAATTATAATTGATTAATAGTTGAATTTATCTAAAAACATTTATTAACGAAACCACTTGCCATGATGACACTCAGGTCCACCTCGAGAAAAAAACGAGAGTCAGAGAAGGGAGAGTTGATTTAAGTTGTTTGTTTACTTCAGAATGATTCAAATGCTGAATGATTCAGAGGCTCAGTATGAATTAGCTCTGAATGTGACATGCTGTTTGATAATGGCTCTGAGTCATTCAGAATGTACTTCTGTGTTGAATCAGACAGCACTGAATCATTCAGAGGTGCGAAACAAACATGTTGAATACTGAACGGTTCAACATTCAGTGCTGAATGGTTCTATTCAGAGCCAAACAAATAGCCCCTTAATTGAACATAATAATTCCAGGCCATTATTTATCTGCTGGTGAGGTTAGGTAATTGGGTAAGGTTATTATAAAACGATGTGAGAATAGTCTAGCAATTGTGTTATTCATTTGATCCGAATCTGAGATCAAACAATAAGAGCTAAAAACAAAATAAAAGAAATAGCAGAAAATAAATTAAAGAAAATAGTTGGATATATCAATATTTTTCTCTAAAGTATGATCTTAAACAAGGATGGATCGAAGAGGACGGATGGGGATAGTCGTCCTTTAAAAATTTAAAATTACTATATATTTTAGATTTTTTCAATTATTTTATGTTAAAAATCTATTTTAAGTATTCCTAAAATTTTATAAGCTCATCATCTCTTAAAATTTTAGAAGTTCGACCCTTAACATAAAATTTTATTTCCGTTCCCACTCTAAATTATTATTACTATAGCCTTTAGATGTTGTTTCCCGCACCAACTTCCGATCAACGAGTTAGATTTCTCTCATATGTTATAGACTCTCATGCAGTTGTTATCAGTGTGGTGACTAAATATCATATTGATATGTAAATTGAGCAGCATTAATGATCCAAAAGTCGTGGAAGCATAGGCGTTTATTGAAGGAGTCAAATTAACAGTTGAGAAAAGTTGACGCTTGATTGTGGTTGAAGGATATTTCACATGTATTGTTATTAAGCTCGTGAAGCCAAAGCATGATCTCTCGCTTCATTTTCAGGAGGCGGTGGTTCTTTTGACAAGCAATAATTAGATCGAAATTAAATTCGTACATCGTGATACAAATAATATGACTCATAAACTAACTCGATGGATTTTGAATCGTAATTCTCCAATTTGATTTGAATTTAATTATTCAGATTGTATTTCAGATAACATACTTGATAATACCATTTTCGGCTAATTTATAAACCTATCTTATTATAAAAAATATTTTTATTTTTATTTGGTTGCCCTCTCGGTTCCAAGACTTTGTCTTGACTAATCCGGACCGACCCGCATCATACATCTGGTTTTGGTGGTTGAATCTATTAACAGAGATTTTCTGCATACGTAAATAGTCAAACTTAAAACATTGCTTAGACAATATTAAGCTGCTTACCGATTTAACCAACCTATATCAATAAATTCTACGATATGATCATAATAATTTCCTTCAATTTTATTGCTTCTAAATTCTACAATAAGATCATGAGCGAAGCCTAGTTTACTCATTGACCTTTTTCAATTATAGGGTCAAACTTAAACCACAATCAATGAAGTTCCAGCAACGGTAATCAATCATTTTACCTTATCCGTTGCAAACTCAAAAGAGCGAAAACAGGACAGCCAGCACAAAGAAGGTGCCAATTGCCAAAACATGCTTGGCTCAGTCCGCCATTCCTCCATCTCCATCCTGCTTTATCCGTCGCCCCTCAAACCAGGTACTATTTCTTCCTTCGATAAATTTAAGTCTATCTTAATTTGTAGTTTTGTACACCTTCATCATGTTAGAATGTTTCTGTGCAGTTTTGTACATTCTTTATTTTGTAAGTAGCTCTTTGACACCCATAAAATTCGAGCCCTGTGGTCATTCAGGGACTTGAACAGAGTATAACATGATGCGTATCTCCATTCTACAGGATGTTGTAGTTCAAGGAAGTTGAATGTAAGAACTCAGCCATGGACAAACAGTGCTGGGAAGTCGGTAAAGCTGAGAACTGTGGTTGTTGGGTGTAAGATTAAGAATCAAGAAATGGGTTTTCAAGCTAGTGAACGGCTTTATCTTGGGATGGATTTTGGTACATCAGGTGCTAGATATGCTTTGATTGACAAGCAAGGGACAATTCATGCTGAAGGAAAGAGAGAGTACCCTCAGTACTTGGTAAGAATTAAGAACCAATGTATAATATTTTGTACCAGCAGTATTGGCTTGCTTGAATGTCCGAATGATTTGAAGTTTACATGGAATTGCACATGTTGCAGTTCAAAATTTCCGAATTGTGACCGTTTGTTTACCTTGACACATTTGATGAAGTTGTTTCTCTTTGTCTAGAAAGAAGGAAGATTCAATGGATTGGGGACGGTCATGGAAAACAACCCTTTTCTCGCTGCTTGAAGATGTTCCCGTTCATCTCTGTCCTCTAGTTGCTTCCATTTCGCTCGATGGGACTTCTGCAACTACGCTTATTATCGACAGGTGATTACCTAAAACACAATATACTTTTTGCTGATCCATGTGGCGTTCTCCTCCACAATTGCTGGGTTTAATTTCAGTATGGTGTCTGAATTTAATCACCTGCAGTAATACAGGAGAACTAGTAGCCAGACCTTACCTCTACAACGAGAGTTGTCCTGATGCTTTACCATTGGTAAAGTCCATTGCTCCTATAAACCATACGGTCTGCTCTGGTTCCTCTACTCTTTGCAAGCTTGTTTCATGGTGGAACAACGACAATTCAGACAAGAAATCCACAATGTTATTGCACCAAGCTGATTGGTTGCTGTGGCTTCTTCATGGGCAGCTCGGAGTATCTGATTACAACAATGCTTTGAAGGTATCATATACAATAACTCATTAGTCACAGTTTAGGATTGCTTCTTATTTAAGAAATGACTAAGAGATTGCTTCTATTTGTCTAGGTTGGTTATGATCCTGAAATTGACTCCTATCCAGACTGGCTGTTATCTCAGCCTTATGCACGACTTTTACCTACGGTCAAGGCGCCTGGAACTTCAATTGGCCATTTGAAAGGCAATATTAGAACACAATTTGGTATGTATTTGTTCCCATTACATTGTTACATAGCTTTTTATGCTTCCCTATATTGTTCAAAGGGAAAAAAAAAATTAGAGTTCTAGCGTGATACTATCCTTATAGGCAGAATGTGAGATTTTGCACTTGTATTTGGAAAAAGTACAATTTCAGATTTAGGACCTCTTAGAGTTGTGCTTTATGAACGTATAATAGCTTTAAGTTTTATATTTATTTCTTCTGAATGCTATTGATCTTCGATTGCAAGTTACACCTGCACTAAGCTTCTGAAACTGCACTTTATACTTTACAAAATACATTCATAGCAGGTTTTCAGAAGATTGTGTTGTATGTACTGGGACCACCGATAGCATAGCAGCCTTTCTTGCAGCACGAGCAACAAAACCTGGGAAAGCGGTTCGTATTTTTTAGATTCTGGCTTTAGTTTGTGCTTTATCAGGAAATTGGAAGTATCTTCTTTTTTGGTTATCATACAGATATTCATCAAGCTGTCCCTTTAGGACATTGATAATCTTCTTCAATCAGTGTCATCCTATGGTGCATTTTACAGCTGGTTTTTTTTGGAGAACTGGATAACAATTAGCATGTCGTCTTATCTACTGGTTTCATGAATTTGTTCTTGATATTTTATGTAGGTTACCTCTTTGGGTTCGACCCTTGCAATTAAACTACTAAGTACAACTAGGATAGAGGATGCGAGATACGGAGTGTACAGTCATCGCCTCGATGATAAGTGGCTCGTCGGAGGAGCTTCGAATACTGGTGGAGCAGTTCTAAAGGAAATTTTCACTGATGAGCAGTTGGACAAACTGAGTGAACATATCAATCCCATGAAGGCCTCTCCCTTGGACTACTATCCCCTAAGATCAGTTGGGGAGAGATTTCCAGTGGCAGATCCAAATATGGAGCCTAGGTATTTGATCTCTCTTTCTCCACATTAGAACATCGATATATCCTCTGCAGTTCTCCCGATGCTTGCTAATTTTCTCAAGAGTCTGTTTTATATGATTAGACCTGAAAAATGCTTGTTTGCAACATAGCTTTATACAAACATTACCTCGGAGCAACATGCTATCGAGTTTTTGATTTTGTTCAGGTTACATCCACGCCCCGAAAGCGATGTGGAGTACTTGCATGGTATTTTGGAATCAATTGCCCGTATAGAGGTACAAAGATATAGCTCCTTGTTTAAGATCTATTTGCTTGTTGAATGAGGCATGCATTGCTGGTAATGGAACTTCAACTCTAAAATGCGCCTTCATTTGGTGGTTGTCATTTAGGCAAAGGCATACATCTTGTTGAAGGATCTAGGAGCGACCCAAGTCGATGAAGTGTTCACTGCCGGAGGCGGTTCGAAAAACGACAAATGGACAAAGATTCGAGAGAGGGTACTCGGTTTACCGGTGAGCCGAGCAACTCAAACCGAGGCTGCCTATGGGCTGCGTTGTTGGCTCTGAAGGGTGCCCAATAGATATAATTTGGCTAGTGAGAGCAAGTGTATGGAGCTGTTATTTTTGTGAAGTCCATGATTATGTGCCCATTTAGTTTTGCATAATCAGTTTTAATTTCTTCGTCTCATTCCCTCTTGTATTTGATTACAAGATAATATAATTATTAAATAAATTTTAAAATATTAATCTACTACATAATATTTATTTTACATTTTCTGTGAAAAATTTGATTTTAATTATCAAAACTATTTGTAAAAGTAATTATCAAATGGGTAAACTACACATTTAGTATCTAAACTATTGTTTTTGTTCCATTTTGGTATCCAAACTTTATTTTTTTCAAAATCATACCTAATGTTTAGTTTATGTTTCAATTTGGTACATTGTCAATAAAAACTAAAGGTGATGTTGATGTGATATTTTTATATTTTAATGATGACGTGATATTAACTTATGGTGACACATCAATGTCACCGTTAAGTTTTTAAAGACAAGTACCAAAATGAAACATAAACTAAACGTTAGGTATGATTTAAAAAAAATAAAATTTGAGTATCAAAATGGTCTCTCGACTATAAGGTATTGCTTTACTAAGTCTATCGACGATTAAAAGTTACAAAATGGTCCTCCGACTATAGGGTGTTATTTTGTTGAGTCCCTTGACTGTTGAAAATTACAAAATGATCACCCGACTATTCATATGTTCCAAACTTATCATTTTTTGTTAAAAATTGATGGTTGTATGAGTTGAACGTTAACTTGCTAACTATGATATGATAGTCGTTTGAGATTTTGGTATCATATTTTATCATATTACATTCAGCATGTCAACGTTTACCTTATACTACTGTTATTATTTTAACGAAAAAAGATGAGTTTGGATCATATGAATAGTTGGATGACCAATTTGTAACCTTTAATAATCGAGGGACTAAAAAAGTAGCGTATTATAATTGAGGGACCATTTTATAACTTTTAGTAGTCAAGGGACTTAACAAATATTATCCTATAGTCGATAGATTATTTGTGTACTTTACCCAATTATTTTTATATGAAATGTTTAAGGATTTGTTTAAATAATTAAGTATAATGTTTTAAAGACTTCTTTAAGTAATAAAAGCCATTTGCAATTTGGGAATCTGCAAAGATTTGGCAAAATCACTCGTGGGTTCTTAAAAATATCTAAATTTAGTTTTTGTGCCTAAACTATATTTTCGAGAGTTGATTGAACAACACATAGAGTAATAAAAAGTGTAAACTACATATTTATTCACTTACTTATTCTAGTGATTTCATTTGATCATTCAACTATATTTTATTTCAAAATTATTCTTATATATTTTGGTCACTCGTCGTTAAAAATAAACAAAACTATTACGTGTTATCATAAGATAATCTCATTCACCATTGAAAAAATAACATTGCCACATTAATATTTATTTAACGATAGATAACTAAAATGAAATCAAAATAAATATTAAGTATACATTTTTGAAAAAATAATAGAGTAATAAAAACAAAATTATGACTAATATATAGTTTATCATATATATATATATATATATATATATGTATTGATTCTTCAATTGCCACTACCTCGAATCCATCACCTACCGCTTCTCCGTACAACAAATCATATAGTATATTGATTTTCTTAAAATGGAAGGTAATGATTCGGTTACCAAGTAGAGCTCAAAGATGTAATTTTATTTTAGAAGGAAATCTTCCTTAATTAATCTCTAGCTGTCGCATTCTTATATATGATCAAACTTTTCTCAAAAAATAATAATAATTATATATGATCTAACAGAATTACACTGTCCTCTAAAGCTCTTTAACCATTGATTCTGGGAAAAATAGATTTCTATGATTCCAATGGATTCTATTCAAACTCTATTATCTCTTCAATCTTCTTCGCCCATCTTCTTCCTTCTTCCAGCATTGTTGGTTTCATTGATTTTCATGTTCGGGCTGCGTCGGAAAATCCCATACCCGCCGGGCCCCAAAGGGTACCCGATTATCGGCAACATGACGATGATGGACCAGTTGACTCACCGTGGCATAGCTCAACTCGCTTCTCGGTACGGTCAGGCGGGTCTCCTCCACTTAGCGATGGGAAAGCTTCACATAGTGGCGGTGTCGACGCCGGAGATGGCGAAGGAAGTTCTACTCACCCAAGACATCGTATACTCCAACCGACCGGCAAACGACGCCATAGTTTATTTAACCTACGATAGAGCCGATATGGCTTTCGCCAACTACGGTCCCTTTTGGCGTCAAATGAGAAAGATCTGTGTTATGAAGGTTTTCAGCCGGAAACGGGCGGAGTCATGGGCTTCCGTACGTGAAGAAGTGGACTCGACAGTGGAGACGGTGATGAAAAGCGTCGGTTCGCCACTCAACGTCGGCGAGTTGGTGTTTGCTTTGACGAGGAACATAACTTATAGGGCGGCGTTCGGGTCGTTTTCACGTGAGGGACAAGATGAGTTCGTGAAGATATTGCAGGAGTTCTCCAAGCTTTTTGGAGCTTTCAACATTGCTGATTTTTTCCCCTGGTTGAGTTGGGTCCATGGGACCGAGTTCCACAAGAGGTTGGTGAAAGCTCGGGCGTCGCTCGATGGGTTCATTGATCATATTATAGATGAACATTTGGTTAGGAGGAATATGGGTCATGCTGAAAAACATCAAGCCGTGCATGATGATGACATGGTGGATGAATTAATGGCGTTTTACAGCGAAAATGCTTCCATAGGAGATTATAATGACTCATCCAATTCTTCCATTCAACTCACCAAAAATAACATCAAAGCTATTATCATGGTAACTGCCCATACTTATGCATGAAGCATGATCGTACCAATAGTTGTATGTTAAGGGTATAAATATAAAAATTTATATTAGAAATTTAAGTTATGAAATTAAAAAATATCTAAATACTGTGTATATAGGCAGGGTCACACCCCGAGCCCCTCAATCTATCCATGCACATATATGTTTGTACACTAGGATGCAATAGTCAATATAGTTAAAAATTAAGTCAAATTAAATATAAAGACTAAGTTTCAAGTTTTAGCATAGTAGAGGGACTATGGAAAAAAAATTACCTTTTCAATTAATGCATGTGAGACATATGTATGACAGGACGTAATGTTTGGTGGAACCGAGACGGTGGCATCGGCAATAGAATGGGCAATGGCGGAGCTAATGAAGAGTCCAGAAGAACTCGAGAAAGTTCAGCAAGAACTCAGTGATGTTGTCGGGTTGGATCGGGTCGTTCAAGAATCGGATCTCGAGAAATTGACCTACCTAAAATGTGCCATTAAAGAAACGCTACGCCTACACCCTCCTATCCCTCTCCTCCTCCATGAGACCTCCGTGGACTCCGTCCTTGGCGGATATCGGGTACCGGCGAAATCGCGTATAATGATCAATGCATGGGCTATCGGGCGTGACCCGTCATCTTGGGAAGATCCGGATGTGTTTAAACCAAGCAGGTTTTTGGATGGTAGTGCACCTGATTTTAAGGGCAGTAATTTTGAGTTCATTCCATTCGGGTCGGGTCGAAGGTCCTGTCCGGGAATGCAACTCGGGCTATATGGGTTGGAATTAAGTGTGGCTCATTTGCTTCATTGTTTTAACTGGAAGTTGCCCGATGGAATGAAGCCGAGTGAGCTTGACATGAACGATTCATTTGGGCTCACTGCACCACGAGCGACTCGACTCGTCGCTGTGCCGAGTTACAGATTGAGTTGTCCTTTTCGTGGAAAATGAACGGGATTGGGAAGGGAGAAGTAGAAACCAGACCAAAGCAGAGAAAATTAATGGGTTTATACCTCCTTTTGTTTTAGGTGTGAAATTATCCCTTATAATAAAATAAAAGTTTAATGATATCTGAGGTACTCTAACCTTTTTGAGAAAATTAGTATGACCCTTGAAATTTTTTCTTGCATTCAATGTAGCCCTTAAATATAAAAAAACATTTTTCATATTACAATATGATTAATCAGTTTATAATTTGAATCATTTACAAGACGGGAGAGGCAACATGTGGAGTAGTGGCCTAAGATCACAATAGGGATTGGTTATGGAGTTATACTAGAAAGGTAGGAATCTGCTCCACACTGGAAGCTGAGATGTGGGGAATCTATAAAGGTGTGCGATTGGCCTGGTTTGCAGGAGAAAAACAAGTAGTTTTGGAATCTGATAACAACGAAGCAGTTAACCTGATAAAAGAGAGCACTGTTGAGAGAAGACGACTAACCCTTTTGCAGCATATTGAATATTTACTTAACCGAAAATCGATGGTAATCCTTAAGCATATCAGTAAAGATGCAAACAAGACGACTGACATCGTCGCCAAGTATGCATGGACTATCCAAAACATATCACAGGAGTATCAATACCCCCAGATGTATGTAGTAGAGGATAGAATAAGGCTGGATAATTGTCCCTAGGCATGACAATATTGTAGTTTAATCCCTAGTTCTACAAAAAAAAACTACTAATTAATGTTCTTAGTTTCATGTTTGGAATACTTATTTATATTTTTCATTAATATATATATATATTGTAACGCCCCAATTTAGGGGCTAAATTATAGAAATTATAAAGTATTGGATTTAATTGGTATTTTGAAAGAAACAGTGAATTAAATTGTAAAATTTTAAAGTTGGCAAACCATTTTATAAAGATCAGGAAATTTAGTGGTTAAACCTATGATTTAACCATTTTTTATATGAGAAGAATTATAAACCCCATTTGTCGTGCTCATTTCCAGATTGTTTCCAGTTTCCTTCTTCCCCTCAACCCTCCTTTCAATTTCGATCTACTCGTCGTCCGACCTCCGATCGACGAACTGAAACCACCATCGTGTTCGTTGTTGACCGAGGAACAAAACCCCTGAAACCTTTCGTCGTGAATCATCTCCATTCGTCGTTAATTTCAGTCAGAAGTATCGTCGGTAATAACTCGATTTCAGTTGGTTTTTCGTCGATTCATGACGATCCGGTCATCCGTTAACGACACCTTACGCACCATCGTGTTCCTTGCATCGTTCCGATTCCACCGGTGTTCTCCTTTTCTCTGTCGTTGCCGGCGCGTGGAGGGGTAAGACCATCAAAGTTTCCGACATTTCGGAATCGAGCTCTCCGCCGTTCAAAATTGTGAACCGAGCTTTGTAAGTGCCTCAAAATCGCTTAAAATAATTTTTAGAAATTTTTTCGGGAATTTTCCGACATCGTATCACTGTTTATGCGCCGCACGCGCCGCACGCGCCACCCCCGAGAGTGGGCATCGTCTGGGTGATAATTTTGTAATTAATTTCTGTTTGAGTGCTATTTGTGTAAAATTCGATGTTAGTTTGGTAAATATTTACATAATGTGGCTAATTTGGTAATTAATTTCTGTTAGGGTGATATTTGTGTAAAATTGTCAATTGTTAACCGTTGACCATAGTTGACCAGAACTTTGATCGGGCATTAAATGACCTTTGACTTCGATCGAATATACCTATCCTAACGTTTTTCGAAATTCGAAATCCGATTCCGTAGTCCGTTTTTTTGAAATTTGGACCTGAAGGCTTCGAAATTACCAGTCAAACCCGTTGACTTTGATCGAAAATTCCAAATTTTCAAAAAATCATATTTTATGCTTTCGATGTCTTGAATCCGAATCCGAAGTCCGTTTCGCCAAATTCGAACTCGGTAAATTGTTTTTCACTGATTTATCATCCGATTCGATCTGTTTTTCAGAATTAAGCTCTGTTTTTTTATGTAATTTCTGTTGATATGGATCCGAGGAAATATTGGAAGATGATTTCAAGATCGAGGACGTTCGAATGGAATTTAATGGTCGATCAGTATGGTACGAAAATCGAGGTAATACTTTAATACATCTTTATGTTTTATGAAACATATGAATATTGATAAATGCATGAATAAGATAATGTTGGTCTCAATTGTGTAGTTAATTAATTTCTACACTCGATCCGAATACAGTAGAAATTTGGTAATTGATTATGGTTCAGAGGACTTTTATACGGAATTAAGGAATTGTTATAACTAAATTTCAAGTTCTGTGTTTGACAATAAAGAAATCAACCTAGATCTGTATCTTATAATTTATTTCATCAAGGTTCATATGTTAAAGGTACTTCGATGAGAAATTATGAGGATATTCTCGTAGGGTAAAATTACGAAAATACCCTTATGTTATAAAAAGACAAGATTTGAATATGGAAGTTGAATAAGAGGTTTTTACAGACATATTGATCTGATAAAAATATTGATGTGCATAAGAAATGTTAGTTTTACTTGAAAATTATGGATAATCGGTTTTTAATCCTATGAGGGTTTGTGAAGGATACTAGAAGTCTGTTAAGGGAATCATTTCAAGATCAGAAAGTGTTCAAGAAAGCAATTAATCATAGGATCTCTAAATTATATTATTTTCGTTAAGAGTTAATAACGAAATTATATGGTTAAGAAATTACGAAAATGTCATTGAGAGGTAAAATAGTCCGAGTTGACCCTGAATGAGAAAGTACTTTGAAGATTTGTACTTAACTTGATTAAGTACGAAATTGATTGTTAAGATTCTGACTTAGTGCAGAAAAATTCTTGATATTCCGTTGGTAAAAATCTGAGAAGGCACTTGACCTGAAAATATTCGAGTTATGAGTAAATACCTGAAGAACAATTTATTGGAGAGTGCTCTTTTATCAGAATTTTTCGAAGGGACTGAAATAGATGATAATTTGGAATTAAATAATAAATAAGATGGAAGGAAATGCTTGAAATACATCGGATCTGTAGAATGACTAGAATACCCCTGTAATAGAAATAACCCAATAATACCACCAATCTCAGGAATGATTGGATATCCTCGAGCTCTGAAATGAATGTAATAAAACTGAACACCAAAATTACCAAAATACCCTTATAGCCTATACTAAGTAAATGTCTTGGATTAATTAAGGGATCCAAATAAGCATAAGTGTGGGACTACCTTTAAAAGTTATGGAACACAGCTTAAGTGAGCCAATCAACCTTAATGATATGTCAGTACCTGAACGACATAAATATTACTTGAATGCATGTTGGTCTACTCAAGTTTGGCTCGATGATAATTTGGAAGTATTCAGCTCAGCTCAACTCTAGATTGCATTCAACACTAAGAATTGAATATTTGTTCGACAAATCAACCACGAAGACCGAATTGAACTGAACAGAAGTATAATATGTATCCGAAATTCAGAAACGTCTGAAATACTCTGGAAAACCCCAAAGTAGTTAAATGGACTTGACTGCTAAATAAGCTAAGTAACCTCAATGACTGAGGATTAAGTAAGTGAATTTGATAATTCTGGAAATTCTGATGAGTTTATAAGATGTATTGTCCTTATGGAACATGAACTACAAATCAAACACGTCAGCATTTCATGATATAGTAGAAGCGTGAACATGAAATAAAGACATTAGAAGATTTATTCAGCGATGATTCTGAAGATTATATATGGACTAGAATTTGTGGTATTAAAGTGTAAATACCCTGTAAGGAAAATGAATTGACCAGTCGATAAGCATTAGTTCTAGGAGTTATTCATCTGGAGTTGTTCGATAATCTAATCAATCGACAAAGATTGTAAAGGATTCGGAATACCCTTATGATTCTTTAAGCTTCTAAAAAATGTCTGAATAAGATATGATCCTGATAAATCACATTCTGAATAACTGATGATTTCGTTAGTTAATGAACTCTTCCCTTGATGATTCGAAATTCCAACGTTCTATCAGCATATTAAAGATCCGTGTTTCTCTGCCTTATAAGATTATCCAGTCCCTTTAAATAATATACATAAACTCTGGTGTGTTCCCTACTCACATGAATATTTTATCTGATTTTCGATTTGAATTCTGATTTGATACTTGACATGGATTCTGATATGATATCTGATATGGATTCTGATATGATACTTGACCTGATTTATGTTTTTGATTTTTGATATATCCGTTTACGGACGAACATATTTTACTTGGGGGTAATGTTGGAGGAAGTATATCTGGAGGCTCCTTGCCTGTGTGCTCAGGGCCTTACTTACCGGCTCCTCGGCTGTGTGCTCAGGGCCTTACTGGACTTGACGGTGGGTGTATGGTTCTGGGGAACCTACATATTTTGGACTTGACGGATGGGGATATATATATATATATATATGTTTTAAAAAGATCTGCAAAGTTACATGATTTTTGGGAACACACTAGAAAACCTATTCTGATCTTCTTAACCTAAACATCCCAAATTTTTCCATCAGAACTGAATACTATCTGTTAATACCTGAAATATTAATGGGACCTCAGCTCAGCCAAAGAAATCTGTAAATATCTGAACCAATAAGGAAATATATGTTTATCTGTATCTGTACGTTCTTCAGTATTATCTGGTAGTTTTGTATTACTGAGCTTTTCGAAGCTCACTCTATTACTCACCATTTCAGGTTAAAAGATTGTACCAGTACAGCTATCAAAATCAATAAGAGAGTTCTTCCGGCATTGCTTGCAGAGTATGGAACATGTGATTAGGGGGACATGTAATTATATTTTGTTTTTATATACGAGTATAAAAATCTATTTTGTTTCTGCATAATGATAAATCATTTTATAAGTTACATGTTTTTAATAAAAGTTTTAAATTTTCTGCTATTTTTATTGTGAGTCGCTCCGGTGGCCCTAATATGGCACTCCAGATCGAATTAGGTTACCCTTATCGGTCTGAGGGGGTTACATTTAGTAGTATCAGATCTATGGTTTGAGTCAAAAAAATTTAAGATAGACCGAC